AAATTCGAACAAATGTAAACTTATTCTAAAATTTGATGCTATTTCCGATTTTTTTGCTTTCATTCAATAAAATTAAAAATTATGGCGTTTGACTTTGTTGCAGTTTTTTTATCTCAGCCTGTATTTACCTTTTACACCAAAAAGATTTCAAAGTTTGTCATTTTGAAGATTACCGAGGAGGATGTTAGTAAAACCATTGCACAATGGACCCACATTCAATTTTTCTGCCTTAGCAACCAATATCAAATTTCATAATTTCAGAACATGACATCTATGACATATATATTAAATTTAGTGATTTCAGCTCTATTCCTTCACCCGGTACCAAATTTAGTACGTTTCGTACAATTATAGAACATATATCAAAACAAGTAAAAAAGTATCTGTCGGTGTTATTTAAAAATATTTTGACTTCTGTTATAATTATTCAAAGGTTTAACCCCTTATGCAGTTGTCCCCGAAGGAATTGGCCAATATTGGCGATTTCGTTTCGGACCTAAATAAATATGATATAAATATTGCGATGTGCTAGGTTTGGTATGTGTTGTGTTAATGCAAATTTTGGGATGTGCCAAGTCTTGAATAGAATCGGATGTCAATTTCGCTATTTATGAGCTTAATGGGTATTCAAAATTTTGAGCCTTTGTGGGGGACTACCAGAAGGAGTGGACCGATATATCCCATATTCACAACGGATCTTTTGTTTGTGAAAATAATGGGATGTGTGAAATATAAAGAGAACTTGATGCTTTTATCGGATTTTATAAACGATTTGGTTTTTTAAAACATTGACCCTTTGTGGGGGAGGTAGCAGGAGGAATGGTCCAATCTCAACCGTTTTTTTTAAACAGATCCTGTGTTGATAGAAATATTCAGATGTGCCAAGTCTAAATGGAATGCGATGTTAATTTCGCGTTTTATGAGCTTAATGGATATTCAAAATTTTGACCTTTGGTGGGGGAGGTACCAGAAGGGGTGGACCAATATGTTCCATCTTAACATCAGATCTTGAGTTTATAAAAACATTGTAATGTGTGAAATTTTAAGACAATCGGGTTCTTATATCAAATTTTATAAGACTTACAATTATTCAAAATGTTTACCCTCTGTGGGGGAGGTACTTGATGGAGTGGACCGATATTATCCATTTTTACACCTGACGTAGCACTGATACAAACATTAGGATTTGCAAAGTTGGAGCAAAATCGGATTATCATTTCTCTTTCTGTGCAAAAAATATATTTTTTAAAATTTCGACCTTTTGTGGGGGAGGTACCAGAAGGAGTGGACCAATATTGTCCATTTTCGCACCAGACCTAGCACTGACGCAAATATTAGGATTTGCAAAGTTGGAACAAAATCGGATTATCCTTTCTCTTTCTGTGCAAAAAATATATTTTTTGAAAATTTCGACGTTTTGTGGGGGAGGTACCAGAAGAAGTGGACCGATATTGCCCATCTCCGAACTCGATCTAAGTTTGAAAAAAATATTACGATGTACCAAGTTTGGACCTAATCGGATGCTCCCTTCGAGAGTTATCGTGCGCACCAGCCAGCCAGACAGACAGACGGACGGACATCGTTAGATCGACTCCACATGTTCTGTATCAAATGATATAAACCCTATGTAGCCATATGGCTGAGGGTATAAAAACGCCTCCATATCTCAATTCCAGTTACCAAAATAGACGTCAATATCAAATTTGAGGATTCCAGCAATATCCTTTAATCCAATATAAAATTTACTTCAATTTACTACTTTTTATAGAACACATTTCGAAACCCACCTACAAATCCCTACCTTAGATACCCTCAGTAATCTATACATCAAATTTCAGAATATTATCTCTATCATTTCACCTAGTACCTACTATGGTACCGTTCAGTACTTTTCATATATCAGGCTACATTCAGTACTTTAATATGTCCAGGCTACACAGGAACAGCGACCCTAATATCAAATTTCATACTTCAAGCACTATACCAAATTGTACCAAATATAGTACTATATAGTACTTTTCGTACACTTCATATCTTAACCACAGACACCAAGAGTGACATCTATATCAAATTGAAGGATTTCAAGATTTCGGCTCTATTGCTTCACCTAATACCAAATTTAGTACTATTTAGTAAATTTCGTACAATTATAGTAGATATCTCCTAACACACCTCTAAATCTTAACCTCAGATACCAGAAGTTATCTAAATATCAAATTTCAGAATTTTATCTCTATCCCTTCACCGAATACCAAATATGGTACCATTTAGTACTTTTTGTACAATTATTGCAAACATTTCTGAAACCACCTTCATATGTTCAGCCTACACATGAACAGCGATGCTAATACCAAATTTCAGATTTTAAACACTATCTGTTCATCCAATATCAAATTGTACCAAATATAGTAATATTTTGTACTTTTTAACTACTTTTAACCACCACAGAGACCTCAATATTAAATTTCGGGATCTCAGCTATATTCCTTCACCCATACGAAATGAGATACTATATAGTACTTTTAGTACATATGTCCAAAACCAACTTCATATCTCAATTCCAGATACTAACAGAGACATCAATATCAGATTTGAGGATCCCAACCCTCTCCCTTCACCTAATACCAGATTTAGCACTTTTCGTCTAAATATAGTAGCTATTTCCAAACTCACCTCCCAATCTGAACCTACAGTTATCTAGGTATCAAATTTCAAACATTCATATCATATCCCTTCACCCAATAACAAATATAGTACCATTCTGGACATTTTGAACAATTATGGTACACATTTCCAAAACCATCACCATATAATAATAACAGATATCAACAGTGATATCTATATCAAATTTCAGGATTTCAGCTCTATTCCTTCACCCCACACCAAATCAAGTACTATTTAGTACTTTTCGTAAAATTATAGTATATATTTTTAGAACTACCTACATATCTCAATACCAGATACCAACAGAGACCTCAATATCGAATTTGAGAATTCCAGTCCTATTCATTCACCAAATACCAAATGTTGTACCAGTAAAGAAAGTCTTAAGGTCGGGCGGGGCCGACTTTATGATACCCTACACCATTTGCTAATTTAGTAGAGCTGCGCATAACAATTAAAAGTTTTTATGGGAGAATGCAATCATACACGCTATGATTATAATTATAATTTAAAGTTCAAAGGACTAAATAAGCCGAAGCATTTGTATCTTTTAAATTCGGACTTGTATTGCCCATTTGGTGCACAATTAATTTGAAATCGGATAAAAAATATATATGGGAGCTATATCCAAATCGAAACCGATCTCGATAAAATTAGACAAAGATATTTCTGAGCTGTATTTGATATATTTCCCTGAATATCGTTGTTACGGAGTGCATATTACAGCTGTGGGTAACAAATATAAAAAATCGGATGAACAGTATATATGTGAACCGATCTTCACCAAATTTGACATACTAGCTTCTAGACTCAATTCGGTCGTAAGTGCCAAATTCATCCAATTTGGGCAAATATTAGACGCTTGGTGCACAATCAAAGATAAATCGGACGAAGTTATATATGGGAGCTATATTGGATGAACCGATCTCGATCAAATTTAGCAAATGTATTTCTGAGCTGTATTTGATATATTTCCCCAAATATTGTTGTTACAGAGTGCATATTACGGCTGCGGAGGACAAAAATAACAAATCGGACGAACAATATATATGGGAGCTATAGCTATATCTGAACCGATTTCGATCAAATTTGGCATACTTATTTTCAGGCCTAATTTGGGTGCATATGCAAAATTCCATACAATTCAGGCTGATGTTACACGTTTGGTGCACAATAAAAGGCAAATCGGGCGAAGATATATATGGGAGCTATATCTAAATTTTATCCGATTATCTCCAATTTCAATAGGGTTCGTCCTTGGACCAAGCAAATGATCTGCGCAAAATTTGATCTGGATCGGGCAATAAATGCGACCTGTACTTTGTTTACAAAAATACATGGACAGACGGACGGACATGTATAAATCGACTCAGAATGTGATTCTATGCAGATCATCAAAAGGAACTATGGGTCTATCTCGTTTCCTTTTGCCTCTTACAAACAAATGCACAAAGACATAATACCCTGACCACGTTGTGGTGTAGGGTATAAACATTAAGTACTTTTCGTACAATTATAGTGCCCATTTCCGAAACCACCTCCATATGTTAAGGCTAAACATATTTCAAGCATTATCTGTTCGCCCAATATCAAATGGTACCAAATATAGTACTATTTGGTACTTTTCGTGCGCTTGTAGTATATATTTACAAAACCACCTCTATATTACAAACCCAACACCAACAGTGACCACAAGACAAATTATCAAAATTCCCTCTGTTTCAAATTTAGTACCATTTAGTACAGTTCGCACACTTAGTACACTTTTCCAAAACAACCTTCATGCATCAAACTTATTTTCCAACCGTTATTCTAATACCAAATTTCAAGTTTTTGGCTTTATCCCTTAACATAATAACAAATTATACCATTTTGGAAGTTTAATAGCATTTTAGAACTTTTCGTAACCTTAAAGTTTGAATTCCCAAAAACCCTTTGGTACATCTTGTCTGCACTCCATTACTGACTCTCATTCCTAATTTTTGAATTCTAGCTCAATCCGTTTGACGAATTTAAATTATTAAATTTTTAGTACATTTTAGTACTTTCATATCCCTTTAGTACGAATTTCCAAAAGCCTTATCACCGACTACGCACCAAGACTGACCATCGTGCAAGCCATCGGGAAAACTAGGGTTACTTTGCGATGTACAATTTTCAGACGTAAATACAAATTTCTTTTACTTTTAGTCCGACTTTTATTCGTCTAACTTGCCTCCCAAATTTTGCCCCATTGAGATATATATTTTTGTGAGAAAAAAAAAACATAACTACTATTTGCAATAGTCTTCACATTTCCATCCATATTTTCCACAATAAAGAATTTAAAATTCCACTTCTTCTAAAATTAAAAATTCTATTTTTATTATTCTTAAAGGAAATCCTCATCCAAGCACATCGTTTTATTTCGCCGATTATCCACATCGAATTTGAAATAGTGCACCAGACACAACTTGATGACGTGATCATATGCCGTCGAATGGGGATTGCAATATCTCGCAACGGAACACTCATCGATGTCATGACGTGTTCCATTGACAAAATACAAAGTGGCGCCGGTATAGGCTCGCTTGCACAACAGACCCATTTTCTCATCGCAGTCGGTTTTGATGACGGCATTATTCATTTTATTAATCCGATAACAGGATTTCTCATTTCCACTTCCCATGCGTAGGCCATAATATGAGTTGTGGTAGGTCCAAAATGACGGCACATGACCTGCGAATTTGAAGAAAGTGTGTATGTGTGTGTGTGTGTGGGAAGAGAGAAAATAAAAAAAAAATAGTTAGCGATGACATTTTAAAAATTTCGAAATTTTAGAAATAGTGTACACCAACGACGAAGGGGCAACGCATTTTCAATCCATTTTAGGGAGGTATGTCAATAAACACAAAATAAAGTTTTCCATGCAAAGGTATAACTTGCCCTGCCCATGCGTTCGTTCCTGGTGTACTCGTATCATTTAAGTATTAAAGGAAAAAGTACTAAAAGGCTAAGAAGAACTAAAAGACTCCGGAGAACTAAAAGACTTTGAAGAAAATGAAAGGGAACTTGCCGCCTCTATTTAGGTTACTTGGTGATGTAAACTTTCAAAAACGTCAGATAAACCTTGAAAAAATATTCTTTCAAAAATTCACAATTATGACTCTGATAAACCTTGAAAAAATATCCACGTCTATTGCTCGGCTGGTCCCTGAAGAAATCTTTTTAAAAATGCAAATTTCTTTCTATTTTGATCTTAATTTGGTTTCTAAAATTCACGTTTATTGTTCGGATAAACTTTGAAAAATGTTCTTTGAAAAATCCCGTTTGTTTTTCTCTTGATCCTTAAAAAAACTTTTTTCAAAACTCCCAGAAAAAGTTCATGAAAAAGTCTTCTAATAAAAAACGTCCTTAAAAATCAAGGATTTTTTCAAACTCTGTGCTTGAAAGAATCTTCCTTAAAATGCTGAACATTGATCATTAAAAAATCTTTTTTATAAAATCCAATTTCAACCTCGATTGAAAATCCAAGTTGCTCTTTGATAAATATTTCCTTAAAAAATCCTCAAGATACTTGAAAAACATTTCTTTTAAAAATCCATGTTGATTCTTGAAAAATATTTTTTTTTTTTTTTAAAATCAACGTCGATCCTTAAAAATATTTCTTTAAAAAAATCAAAACTGATCCTTGAAAAACATTTTTTTAAAAATATCAAAGTTGATCCTTGACTTTTTTAATTCACGTCGATCCTTGAAAAACATTTCTTTAAAAAATCAACGTCGATACTTGAAAAAAACATTTCTTTAAAATTCTACCTTGATCCTTGAAAAATATTTTTTTAATCCGCGTTGATCCTTGTAAACCATATCTTCAAAAAAGTCCATACTGACCCTTCAAAAGCATTTCATTACAAAAAATCAATTTCTTTAAATAACTCAACCTTGATCCTTGAAAAACCCTTTCTTAAAAAAATCGACGCTAATCCTTGAAAAAATCTCTTTAAAAATCCAAGTCGATCCTTGAAAAACATTTCTTTAAAAATCCACGTTGATCATTGGAAAACATTTCCTTAAAAAATTCACTTTGGTCCTTGAACAACATTTTTTTAAAGAAAATCCTCGTTGATCCTTGGAAAACATTTTTTTAAAGAAAATCCACGTTGATCCTTGAAAAACGTTATTTTAAAAATTCATGTTTGTCATTGAAAAAAACATTTCTTTAAAAAATCAAAGTTTATCCTTGAAAAAAACATTTCTTTAAAAAATCAAAATTTATCCTTGAAAAACATTTCTTTAAAAAACATCTTTGATCTTAGAAAAACATTTTTAAAAAATAATCTATATTGATCCTTGACAAACATTTCTTTGGAAATATTCACGCTGATCCTTGAAAAAGATTTTTTTTAAAAAAATACACGTTGATCCTTGAAAAACGTTTCTTTAAAAAATATCCACGTTAATCCTTGAAAAACATTTCTTTAAAAAAATCGACTTTGATCCTTGGAAAACATTTCTTAAAAAAACGGTGTTGATCCTTGGAAAACATTTCTTTAAAAAATTCAAGTTGATCCTTGAAAAATTTTCTTTAAAAAATCCACGTTGATCCTTGGAAAACATTTCTTAAAAAATGGGTGTTGATCCTTGGAAAACGTTTCTTTAAAAAATTCACGTTGATCCTTAAAAAAATTTTCCTTAAAAAATCCACGTTGATCCTTGGAAAACATTTCTTAAAAAATTGGTGTTGATCTTGGAAAACGTTTCTTTAAAAAATTCACGTTGATCCTTGAAAAAATGTTCTTTAAAAATCCACGTTGATCCTTGAAAACAATTTTTGTTTAAAAAGTCCACGTTGATCCATGAAAAAATTTTCTTTAAAAAATCCACGTTGATCCTTGAAAAACATTTCTTTAAAAAAATCGACTTTGATCCTTGGAAAACATTTCTTAAAAAATCGATGTTGATCCTTGAAAAACATTTCTTTAAAAAAATCGACTTTGATCCTTGGAAAACATTTCTTAAAAAACTCGATGTTGATCCTTGGAAAACATTTTTTTAAAAAATTCACGTTGATCCTTGGAAAATATTTCTTTAAAAAATTCACGTTGATCCTTGAAAAATATTTCTTTAAAAAATTCACGTTGATCCTTGAAAAATTTTTTTAAAAAATCGACTTTGATCCTTGGAAAACATTTCTTAAAAAAATCGATATTGATCCTTGGAAAACATTTCTTAAAAAATAGTTGTTGATCTTTGGAAAACATTTCTTAAAAAAATTCACGTTGATCCTTGGAAAATATTTCTTTAAAAAATTCACGTTGATCCTTGAAAAAATTTTCTTTAAAAAGTCCACGTTGATCCTTGAAAAAATGTTCTTTAAAAAATCTACGTTGATCCTTGAAAACAATTTTTGTTTAAAAGTCCATGTTGATCCTTGAAAATTTTTTTTTTTAAATCAACGTTGATCCTTGAAAACATTTTTCTTTAAAAAATCACGTTGATCCTAGAAAATATTTCTAAAAAAACACACGTTGATCCTTGAATTTTTTTGGTTTAAATCAAATTTTTATGCTGATACTTAAAAAAATTCTTTAAAAAGTCCACGTTGATCCTTGAAAATATTTATAAAAAAACACACGTTGATCCTTGAATTTTTTTGTTTTAAATCTAATTTTTATGCTGTTATTGAAAAAATTTTTCTTTAAAAAATCCACGTTGAACCTTAAAAATAATTCTATAAAAAACACACGTTGATCCTTGATTTTTTTTTTTTTTAAATCTAATTTTTATGCTCTACTGGTCCTTGAAATATTATTCTTTAAAAGTTGTGAAAAAAATCTCCTTTGAAGTCCTCCTACAATGGTATTCATCAATTTCACGGATCTATAGGTATTTATAAGTTCGAATCAACTAATATTAGCTAATATATTTCACTCCCCACTGCAAAACATAATCAAAAGAAAAAAACACAAATCAAGCCAACTTACCATAAATCCCATCGACATATTCCATTAAATCGGCAATATCAATTGTGTATATTTGAAATATCATGCTTTTATCCTGGCAAATACTGTCGGCATCTTTGGCGGTATACTGGAAATAAATATTTTTTGTCTCCAGAAATAACTTCTGTTCATCGCCGAAATAATTGTCAAATTTCTTGGACTTACATTAGGTTTGGTATCGATGTAGTAGATACTTTTGCGATATATAAACCATGGTATATCCTTATTTTCCAGACCGATTATTTGAGTCGTTAGGAGGAATAAATTGATGACAATTGATATCCACACAATATTTTTCATTATTTATTTATTTATTTTGTTTTTTTGTGATTAGAATATTATAAATCTCCGTTTGTTAGCTCGCACAATTTAATACTAAGATCAGATTTAGCATCAAAAAGATAAAATCATTATTATTTTTCTATTGCGATAAGTGCGACCACATATCTTATAGAATATATATTTATATGCCACAAAATATTAATCATCGTTGTAAACCACATTATTGCTGTGGGAAAGTACACCCACATTTAAAAAGAATTTAAAATTTTTGTAGGCAAATTTTTTTTTTTTGATATGGATGCAAATATTTTCCTTATTTACAATGAATGAAGAGATTTCCTTTCTTTGACGACTTATAGTGCAATTTTATGAAGAACATTTTTGTCTTTGACGTCATCATTCCAATATGATGATTTGTAAGGGAATTTCGAAAAGTCTAGCTTAATATTTACGATTTCTTCCAACAGTTCCTATGAAGCTTTGTTAATGCTCGAAATGCACCATTTGTTCAGTTTAACAAATTTTGCTAATCAAAACTTCCTACATCGTACTATTATGGGATTATGGGAGTTTAATTACCAGCGGACAGACGTGCGTAGATAGAGTCTCCAATTGAAGCAAAATTTCTCCAAGAATAAACAAATGATTCCAGTGCGTGGGACATCATAACAATCCATAGCAGTCACATAGTCACAAACACAACAAATAAACGTCTGCAGAGCTTTTGGTGAGCAGCAAATTTAATTTATTTTCACAATATTTTAAAAGAAAGAATTTTCACTCAAAATTCACAAATATAAAACCAACGAGTAAACTAACACTGAGAAATCAAAACAAACTTAGCAGCTGACTCTATCTAACCAAGTTTAGTGGTGGCAATTTTCCGATAATAAAAGTTAGAGTTATCGATAAATAACATCTGTGATCAACAGCATTGCCATTTATGATAACTTCCAGGGTACGGAAACATGCAGGATAGTTGTCAAACACCTAAACGTAAACACGTAGAAATCAAATCGCCAGAGAACAGTAAAACAACATCAAACATGGACCCCAATGATCTTGTGAAATTAATAAAAGAAACCATCAATACGAACTTAGATGAAAAGCTGAAAACTCTACCCACAAAGTCTGATTTAGAGGATTTAAGACTTGAAATGGTTAATTTTAGTACTGACATAAATGGCCTTAAATCAGAAAATCAGGCATTAAAAGAAGAACTAAGCAATGTAAAGAATGAAAACACACAACTTAAAAGAGATATTAATTGGCTTCAGAACCAGATTAAACCAAATAAATTGTTCATCAAAGGATTGCCAAGCAACAAAAATCCAAGAGAAGAGGTGGTGAAGTTGTTTAAGGAAAAGTTAGCCACATTAGCCAACATAAAGAACGCGCAAAAAGTTTTTGACCGTAACGGCAAAATGGCAGTAATTGTAGAGCTTGATAATGAAAAGGCAATACAAGACGTTTTTCAGAATACCAGAAAATTAGCTGGGTCAAATATTTCTATAGAGAGGGATATGATACCTAATAAACAACAACATAAGAAAGCTTTTCTTACACTTAAGAAAAACCTACTTTCAGTTAGCAAACAACATAAAGTCGTGGTGAGAGAAGACAGGATTAAAATAAAAGACAGTTGGTTCAGATGGAATGCAGATAACAAACTTGTATCTGGCAACGCTGATGGAGAACAGGAACTCGTTAAGTTGTATGGAGACGTTATAAAGTCAATCAATTTAAATTATGGTACTCTGATTAACGATTTTCATCCAAAAAACTGATGCACATAACTCCCGTAAACGAAACAAGAAGCATATCCATACTATCATATAACATAAATGGTCTAGAAAATAAATATCTATACCCAACGTTTTTTCAATATATAACACAATATGAAGTATTTTTATTATTGGAAACACATTTAGAAAGTGGAAAAATGGAAAGAGCCAAGACATATTTTATCGGATATCAATTAGTTTTCGAGCCTGCTATAAGGGTCCATAGGTTTGGAAGAGCAATTGGTGGAATAATAATAGGCATCAAACAAGAAATGATTGATATGGGTGTCTCATACGAAATTATCCATACAGATGACAAGCTCATTATAAAATTACAATATAAGGAACAAGTATATACACTTATACCCCAATACCTCAGGCCATCTACTTGGGATCACGATTTTAGAAAACTGAGCCAAATATTTCAAACCGCGGACACCTCAAATCAGATAGTAATAGGAGATCTCAATGCGAGAATTGGAGAAGTGAATCAGAGTATCGGAGATATATACCGGAAAAAGTTCTACTCAGGATATGATTTAAGGAAATCAAAAGACAAAATAGTTAATCAAAAAGGTTCAAAATTCATACAGCTTTGTGATGATTACAATATGCTTATATTAAACGGAATAACAAAAGGCGATAAGGAAGGAGATCTCACATACATATCAACATTAGGCGATTCTGTGAATGACTTATGTGCAGTATCTAAGGAAGTTCTAGAAAGAATTGTAGAATTTAGAGTGGAGGATAAGGTATGGTCTGATCATTTCCCGATTCTAGTAAGGATAAATATTGGATCCTATTCGCAAACAGAAGAAAAGATGTCATTACTGCCAAAACTCATCTGGAAAGAGAATAATAAGAATAACTACCAACGAAGATTGAACATAAATTTGGAAGTAATCCAAGTAACAACACAGTCATGCCTGGAGGCAATATGTAAGGCGATTTCAAGGTCATATCCCACACAATATTCAAACAAGCCGACATTTCAAGCAAAACAAAAATGGTACAATAATACGTGCAACAAAGCTCGTTTAAACAGTTTTAATTTGCTCAAAATATATAGAAGAACTGGAGATCTGGATGACAAAAGAAGGTATTCAGCCGCACAAATCCAATACAAAAACATATGTAATATAAGTAAATCTGCATATTATAAATCAATCGGCAATAATCTAAACAGCATACGAAACGCAGGAGAATGGTGGAAAATGGCAAGAGAACTTCGAAATGAAAGCAACTTCGTAGGGATAAATATAACCCCAGAAATCTTTAAATGCTATTATTCAAGTCTCTTAAATAATTCCGAAGAATCCACACTCATTTACTATGCGCCTACATATAAGGAAGATGTTGATTTGGACACACCAATAATTATGTCCGAACTGGAAAAAATATTTGCATGTGTGAAAAGAAATAAAGCTCCCGGAGAAGACAGGATTCCATACGAATTTTATATAAATGGCACAGAACAACTACATACTCAATTGTTGAATGTATATAATAACATATTTTCGAGCACAAATATTGATACCTCTTTCACAAAAACGGTAATTTTTCCGATACATAAAAAAGGAGATTTTAATGAGCCATCTAATTATAGAGGAATCTCGTTCATGAACTGTGCGGCAAAAATTTTTATGGGGATAATTAATGAACGGCTCTACAATTGGGTTGAAAAACATGAAATTTTGAACGAATATCAAGCTGGTTTTCGTAGAAACTACTCTACAGTTGACAACATATACAATATTGCCTCTATTGTCGAACTCAAATTAGCAGAAAAGAAAAAAGTATACTCATTTTTCATCGATTTCAAAGCAGCATTTGATAACATATCAAGACAAGCACTTATTTATAAGCTGTTTAGAATGGGAATTTCATACAAAATGGTCACATTAATAGAAAAAATATACAATAACACCCAATCGGCAGTATGGAATGGAAGAGAGCTTTCAGATTTCTTTCCAACTACAAAAGGTGTAAAACAAGGTTGTCTATTGTCACCGTTATTATTTGCACTTTATATAAACGATCTGCACGAGCATATTGGGGGTGGACTTTTCGTGGACAATATCAATATCAGAAGTCTTTTGTACGCAGATGATATTGTGCTTCTTGCTGATGATATTGCAATACTCCAAAAAATGATAGATAAAGTGGAAACATACTGCAAAATTTGGTGCCTAGAAGTAAACTTATCCAAATCGGAAATAATGGTCTTTAGAAACGGAGGGAAACTAAGCAAACATGAAAAATGGATGTATAATGGCAGAGAAATCAAAATTTCAAATGAATTTAAGTATTTAGGCGTGACGTTCACACCAAAAATGAAGTTCCTAAAACACGTACAAAATCGGAATAAAGAGGCAAAAAATGCTATAAACTCGACATGGAAACAATTTATTGGTAAAGCAGACATAAATATGAACGCAAAATGGAAGCTGTTTTTAGCAGTTTGTAGATCCATACAAACATATGCTGCCCAGGTCTGGGGATTCACTTACTTCGAAGAGTCTAACACATTATTGAGATTCTTTCTTAAACGAATATTGAGAGTTCCTAGTTTTACTCCAAACCACATTTTGATGCTGGAAACGGATGTTGAAGATACTCAAATATATACACTGGGGCTACACCTCAACTATCTCGGAAAAACTCTGTTTCAATATTCTGAAAACAGGCTTCCTCAAAAACTTACACAACTCATATATCGCAAGAACACTTTTTGGGCCAAGGAATTGAAGGTACTGGCTGAATCATTTAGTTTGGAATGGTCGCATGTAATGTCCTCTCAAAACAACTGGTTTACTTTCTGTCAGGATATTATAAAATGCATAAAGTTACAAATCCACAATGAAAATATACGGAAAAAAGAAAATAGCCAGAGTCAACGAATTTATAGACATCTAAAAACAAATATTGGCCATCTCTATTTAAATGATAAGTACTCTGAAGAGAAAATCATTTGCATCTTTAAAGCGCGTAGCGGTATGATACCTCTGGAATACAACAGATTTGACCAAGGAGACCGAAATAGAGAATGCAAGCTTTGTAATATGCGGGAAGTAGAAACGATGCAGCACTTTCTAGGAATTTGTCCCGTATTACGAGAATTCAGAATGAGATCATTCAGAAAGCCAACGCTTGATGAAGAGGAAATAATCAAGATACTCAATGGCGAAGAAGAAAGTGGCTGGAATGACTTAACAAACTACATTGAAGTCAGCTATAAATACAGGCAGCTTTTGATAAATGAATTTAACTAAACACTTTTATCTAAAAAAGAAAAACTTTGAATTTATTAAACTAGGCGACAGACGTTTTAAAAACATTGTCGCAATCCCAATATCAACTTCTTAATATCTATTAATGTCATACTGTATTTGAAAATATTTATTCAATAAAGAAGTTTTTTACTACTACTACTACTACATCGTACTATAATTTCAGACTTTTAAGGTTTTATATATTATTCAAGTTTTTCCTTTTTCAGAAAGAATAACGCCAAAATGTCTTCAGACTCTTTGATCTCGAAGTTTATCGATCCATTGCACAATGGACCCATATCCAATTTTTTTGTCCAAAACTATTTCCCCGTCTCCATATGTAAACACTAGAAACCAATAGCGACCTCAATATCAAATTTCAGCCCCATCCCTTCACCAATACAATATTTAGTATCAATTTACATCTTTGCATCCTAGTGATTCAAAACTAGTATCATTTAGTACTTTTTGAACAGTTATAGTATGCATTTGCAAAATCACCACCAGATCTCAGCACTAGATACCAACAGAGACATCCATATCAAATTTCAGGACTCCAGCTCTACCCTTACACCCAATACATAATTTAATACCACTTAATACTTTCC